AGGCTGGTTTCCAGCCATTTCCAGCCTGGTCTTAGCTGGTCAGGCTGGAAAATGACCAGCTAAAACCAGCTTGACCAGCCTGGTTTAAGCTGGACATAGCTGGTTTTAGCTGGGCTCCCAGCCTGGCTAAGCTGGTTTTGGCTGGTCATCTCCCAGCCTGACCAGCTAATACCAGGCTGGAAATGGCTGGAAACCAGCCTGGAAATGGCCAAAACCCCTCTAAAACCAGCATGGTCGACCAGCTAAAACCAGCTAACCAGCCTAGGCTGGTTTAAGCTGTTTTTTTCAACAGGACTTACGTTTTCTCGTGAGATCAGGCTGTGCAGTCGCACAAATGCTCCCAAATATATTATGAGGTCACATAGATTTATTTTCGGGCGCATATTTTTATTGAAATACCAGAAATGGGTTTAAAACGCATATTACCAGAGAGAAAACCAACCATGATATATATTGATATTGAATTATTGTCCAGCCCTAAGTAAAATAAATCAATTCACAGTTAAATTCTGTGTAAATTACAAAAATGGTTAACATCGTAAGCAGAGCACATTTTTTTGCAGTGTAGATAAATCAGCAACAGCACATTTGATGCAGCGAGATATATATCATAACCATAAAGGCCTATTCATCCTTAAAAAGACCATTTTTGTCCTTTATAAAAACAAAAACAGAGATACAGAGAATATCATAAAACTGACTGCGACACAAAAGATTCATAAAGATTTCAAAGCATCGTAAAGCTGTGTTAGGAGAGCAGCAATCACTACTTGACACGAGTTAAAAAAGAAAAATCTGATTAAGACTATAATTATGAGTAAACGTCTCCTGACACCAAGAGCATCAAATATAAAATCAGATTAGCTAAAAATAAAGCACACAGAAATAACTAAAAATACAACAGACGTCACACACACACACACAGTCAAAGTGAGTGAGTTCAGAGAAATAAATGTGAGCTTTTTGATCAGATGCTTTGCTTTTATGAATGTGTGGATGGAGACACACGCTTTTAATCCCATAGGAACTGATGAAACGGCTATTTTTACCCGGTGACTGTCAGGACTAACAAACCTACAATAAAGCAGAGCGACAGAAGGACACAGGTAGAAGAAAAACACAATGTGCATTTATTTTCAGAGCATTCTAGTTCTTCAGTACATATGTAAATGACATTTAAAAATACCCCAAAAATGAGACAGAAAAGCAAATTCAGCTTGGTCTGCAATCCCGAATAATACAGAGACTGGGATATTTTAATGACTGGGATATTATGATTTTGATTATTAGTTTTAGATTTTTGTTTTGTTTTTAGACTTTTTAAATGTACATTTTTGCATGCATTTACACAAATAGCTGAGCAATTGAATTGCTTCTAACATTTATCAGAACCAGCATCGGTGTAGTTAGTCGCAAAACAACCATTCATTCATTTTCTTGTCGGCTTAGTCCCTTAATTAATCCGGGGTTGCCACAGCGGAATGAACCGCCAACCAATGAACTGCCAAACCAGCGTTTACGCAGCGGATGCCCTTCCAGCCATAACCCATCTCTGGGAAATATCCACACACACACACACACTCATACACTATGGACAATTTAGCCTACCCAATTCACCTGTAACGCATGTCTTTGGACTGTGGAGGAAACCCACGCAAAGGCAGGGAGAACATGCAAACTCCACACAGAAACACCAACTGGGCCGAGGTTCGAACCAGCGACCCAGCGACCTTCTTGCTGTGAGGCGACAGCACTACCTACTGCGCCACTGCCTCGCCCCTCAAAGCAACCAGTTTCTGTAATTATAATAAAGGCAGATGTTAGCCTATATTTAAGCCACATTTAAGCTACAGTCACAAATTTAGAAGTGACTCAGACTTTAAATTTGACAATCAGATTAGAGCGGTAGTTAAATCTAGCCTTTTTCAATTATGACAACTAGCAAAAATAGAGCAATACCAACAGTTTGAGACAGTTTTCCATGCTTTTGTGACCACTCAGTTAGATTACTGTAATGCACAGTATGTGGGGAACAGCATGGTCAGCTATTGCCCATTTGCAAATGGTGCAAAATGCTGCAGCACGCCTGTTAACTGGTACTCACAAATATGACCACATTTCCCCTATGTTAGCTTCGCTTCATTGGTTGCCAGTGAATTTTAGAATACAGTTTAAGATTCTGGGCGACACAGGCTCAGTGGTTAGCACTGCTGCATGTGTGACTGTGGAGAAAACCTGAACACCTGGAGGAAACCCACGCAAACACGGGGAAAACATGCAAACTCCACACAGAAATGCCAACTGGTTCAGCCGAGGCTTGAACCAGCGACCTTCTTGCTGTGAGGTGATCCTGCTACCCACTGCGCCACCGTGTCACCCCACAACTATACTTATTAACTAATATGGTTTAAACACTATATTTACTCTGAATGAGCATAGTCCTTTTTCATGTGTTATTGCTTTCTTTCTTCTAGACATGCAGCTTTTTGCTTGTAAAGAGATTAGTTCAAGCAGGACTGAAGGTGTCTGTGTTCGTATTGTCTTGTTTCTTCATGCTGTTTTCACTGGAGAGCTCTTTTATTACACCGTAATAGACAGTCACAGTGTGTGTTCCCGCTCGGCCCTGATCTGTCCTGTGTTTGCAGTCGCAGAGCCTCTTGAACGCAGCACGAAACTTCTGCGACATGGCGTTGTAGATGATGGGGTTGACAGCGCTGTTGGTGTAGATGCACATGCGGGAGAACAGCAGGAACCAGGTGTCCAGATATGGCGGATCCAGCAGAGAATTCACCACCACTAGAGTCCGATACGGCAACCAGAGCAGAGCGAAGACAACAACCACCACTGCCAGCATCTGTGTCACCTGATACACACACACACACACACACACACACACACACACACACAAAACATTCACACATATCAATATGTACACACACAAACATATAGAAACATAAGAAAAATCACACACACACACACACACACACACACACACAAAACAAACGCAAAATGGCAAACGTTAAATGCTGCATTTGTTTTATAGGATTTTCATAAGCAGAGACGTTGCATTTATTATTATGCATTTATACTTTATATACTAATAGGAACTATCCTCTCATTCTTCTGTATAGTTAAGAAACTCTGGTGCCATACCATGACTGCTGCAGCAGGTGCAAAATTGCACAGTACCTGAAAATAGTCCCCGTCTCAATAGTATCTATGCAGCCTTTATGATGCAAGCTGAGATTGCATCGCCCAGAGATGCAGTGTTAGACACAATACACTCAATGGAGCTAGTGACATCACTGTGAGGGTTAGGGGTGGGATTAGGTGAGCGCATTAAAAAGCATTGGATGTGTAACAGGTGTTATATTATTTTTATTAATTTCACTCAAAATTCTCCTTGTTATTCATCAATTATTTTTATTTAATTGTGTATTTTCAAAGTTGTTCTTTATATATCTTATATTTCAGAGTTAATGAAATCATAGTTGTGTTTGTTTTCAATGTATTGGTGTATTTTGGAAAATTGCGCGTGGCCCCTTTAAGTGTCATTTTCCGGTTCCGCCTGCTCTCACTCAGTTCGCGGCAAACGCGATTGAGGAGAGGTTGGTGAGCTCCTAAGGAAGGCACATACTCAGCTGTGCCCTTTATTTGCTTTATTCAAACAGAATAAAAGCCTGTTAATTCCCATATGACTGGTTCCTTTCGCCTAAGCACAACACAACGCAGAGTAAAGCGAGGACCGGTCACAGATGCAGCTCAGCTTGCATCTGCACCGAGTCAGCAGCCACATCTAGGATCAATGTGAAGTTAGCATATTTGCAGAGTTGCAGCTGACAAATTGATTAATGCCTGAAATTACCTGTGTAGCAATGGTTGTGAATTGAGCTGTCCCTAATCTAATCGAAGGTGTCATGTCGGTTATATCAATAAAAGTTTGATGAACCAGTTTTCAGGCACTGCATAATAGCATTGCTCCTGCTGCAGCCAGTGTGTTGGCCCCAAAATTCCTTGATTATTACTCCAGAATGAGAGTATAGCTCCTAGCCATATCAGCCTAGAAAATAACAACTTTTCATTTTCCGTCAGTCTTAGTACACAATTCCAACAGAATCATGTCTCGCAGACTCTGTGCGAGACATGATTCTGTTGGAATTGTGTGCTAAGACTGAATAACACTGTGTGAAGTGTGAGGGAAAGTTAGTGTTATTTACCCTACGCAAAGATGAGGCTGTGAAGAGTCAGTGGTTGAAGTTTATTTTTGCAAAAATACCTCAGCATTATAGCCCTAGCCTTGTGCTGTGTTCCCGTCATTTTTCTGACGAGTGCTTCAGCAATCTACACGCTTACAATGGGATCAGAACAGACTATTGATGAATGGGATTTTGTGATGCTGCGTTCACACAGACGTGGAACGCGCGTCAAGCTCGAGTGATTTACATGTTAAGTCAACGCAAACGCGCGAATAGACATCCTGCGGCACAATACGCGCAAATGGCGCAGCGCGAATGGCGCGATGCGAATTGAGCGTTTTGCGCGTTTGACGCGCGAATCACTCGAGCTCGAAAATCTGAACTTCAGCAGACATTCGCGCCGCATTAACCAATCAAGAACTTGCTCTTGTGGGGACGTGATTTTGACGTATCGCCTGTTGTCGGTGTCCCAGGGGAAATCCTCCAGCTGACACCGACAAGAAGATCATCAAACTGGGCTTGGCTCAGCCAGAAGCACCTCTGAAAGCCTTCGTCAGCCAGGTTCAGTTTCTGGAGGAGTTGATGAGCTCACAGAGCTGGATGCATCTTTGAAAGCATGTAGTGGCCCTAAACGTATCGACGCTGTTTATCATCCTTCATAAAGCACATAAACACTGTTATTTTCTTCATAAAATCCATGTTAGCCATTTAGCTATGAAGCTAGAGTCACGGGGCAGACAGAAGCCCTGCCCATCACGCGAATCCGCGTCTGTTCTGAAGTGAATTTGACACGCGAATGAAGCGGATTTGATGCGCGAATGAAGTGAGTAAACTCAAATGTTCGCGCGGCTATTTACGGGCGAATAGCTTGATTTATCCGCGCATTCCGCGTCTGGTGTGAACACAGCATTAGAGCTTGACAGGAACTTTACTCAGTTCATGGATCAGTTTCTTCCTCCATTTCATAAGTGTAAGTAAGTGCGATTAAAATAGCTGCGTCCTTGTTTTCTCTAGCTTGCAATTATGTATTTAATTATGTTTTGTTACTTGTAACCGCTTGTACTGTATCTGGTTACTCTATATTCTCATATCGCTTCTAAAACCACGTTAAAAACGGGACACATGCAGCTTTGTTTACGGATTTAAACGCGTTTGTGAGCTCACAATCTACTGCTGTTTGACGTTGCTATGGCCACCGTCAGCTGTTCCTACACATGTGCGGTGGTCAAGTTTTAAAATAGTTCAGCTTTTGCTTCTATGAGGAGTAATACTGAATGTGTGTCGTGGTTAAGAATAGGGCGATATGCTGGAGTTAAACTGCATTGCTTTAATGCACTCCTGCACAGGGTTCACACATACACTCTGAACCAGCTCTGAACCAGCCTACCAGCCTAGGCTGGTTTAAGCTGGATTTTTCAGCAGGGTGATTGAACCTTGCTTGCATCACCATTTGCAAAATTAAGCTGCAATTTGGACCCAACCCTTGTTGCCAGCCCAACTCAATACACACACAGACCTGTTTTCTGGAGGATGCTGCTCTGTTGGGTTTGCAGTTCACTTTTAGCGAGTTTTGCCGTCTGCCCTGTTGAGCCGTAAATCTCTGATTGGAGATGTTGGATGATGGCGGATCTCGAAACAAGATCCTGGCAATCAAACCATACAGAACCAAAGCCACGAGCAGAGGAACCACATAAAACAGTGTGAAGTCCATAAAATATATGGGCATGTAGAGACTCCTGGACACCCGATATCCACACCGGACCACGACACCATTAGAATAAACAGTCTCCTCAGTGTCCACCAGGAAAAACCACATGATGCAGTATATAGCTGTGAAGATCCACACACAGGCGATGATCTTTTTGGCTCTGGATACGGTGCAGATGAGTTTGGCTTTGATGGAGTGGCAGATTGCAATATATCGTTCAATAGTAAAGGCTGTGATGGAGCAGGAGGATACATTGATGCCCAGGTATTGCAGATATGTGATGCAAACACATCCGGTGTACCCATAAATCCACGAAGAGGTGACTTCTGAAATATTTGGCAACCCGGCGGCCATCAGAACGGTCAGATCGGCTACTGCTAGACTCACCAGGTAGCAGTTGGTGGCGGTCATCATATGCTTGCTTTGGATCACCACCAGAACCACCATGATGTTCCCAGCGATTCCCACTCCACAGATGAGTAAAGACAATGATATGGTGACCAGCTGGACTTCCAGAGAGTTCTCCGGCTTTGAGGAAAGAGTTGGAATGATGGTGGAGTTTATGTTGGGATCTGCCGAAGTGCTGTTGGACATGGTGGAGATTTTTAGGATGCTCTTATTTAAACAACAATCCTGAAGGTTAGAAAGAAAAACATGAGAAAAATGCATAACAAGATCATCAACATTATAAGCTGAATTATTAGATTTATGCATTTTTAAATAGTATAATAGGGTGACATGGTGGCTCAGTGGTTAGCACTGTGGCCTCACAGCAAGAAGGTCGCTGGTTCAGTTGGCATTTCTGTGGAGTTTGCATGTTCTCCCCATGATGGCGTAGGTTTTCTCCAGGTGCTCCGGTTTCCCCCTTAGTCCAAACACATGCACTATAGGGGAACTGAAGAAACTAAATTTGCCGTAGTATGTGTGGTGAAGGGCTGCATGGTGGCGCAGTGCGAAGCATGTTCGCCTCAAGGCAAGAAGGTCGCTGATTTGAGCCTCGGCTGGGTCAGTTAGCTTTTCTGTGTGGAGTTCCTCCGGGTGCTCCGGTTTCCCCCACAAGTTCAAAAACATGGTATAGGCAGGGCTCAATTTGTGCCGGAACACTCAGGATCCGTCACCTCTGAAATCTCATTTTACCAATCCCCTCTTCACCCGTCCGCTGTTCACTTTCACTTTCTTCCATAACTCCCCAACACTCTTCACTTAAATACTTAAAGAATTACCATATTTTATCCATAACCTTCTGAAGAGAAAAAAATAGTCGTCTATACCATATATAGTTACTATAGTAGCTTATAGTTACTACTTCTATTGGATTGCAACCCCTGGGGTAATTACATTGTATTAAAGACACAGCAATAGCGTCAGATGCAGCAGATTTCATAACACCCGGTTAAATTTGTGGCCCATTTCCAGCTCTCATACATTAAAAAAATTAAAAGAAGACTGAATGGACTTGGGTCCATTGGTGTGTGTGCGCCATTGCATGCAAGGTTTCTGTATTTATAACCAACTCAGAGTATATTGGGGGTCGCGACTCACTGGCATTGTCATTTTGGGGGTCGTGGCCTGAAAAGTTTGGGAAGCCCTGGCTTAACCTACGTCCGCGTCACCCCTCCGATATCCAACGCCTAGATATTACCACCCCGTGCCTCTACTTTCATGCTCGACACCTAGGCTATACATCCTTGGGTAGCATGCCGGACCCGTTACCCCGATCTGTTCCAGGACCTTGTGATTCACAAATTAAGCAGTGTTTATAGAGTGAAGGAACTATGACGTCACCTTGTAGGCGAATCGGCTGCTAGCATAAAACTGGTTCCCTCGATAAAATCCCTATAGAATTTTCCCATAGGCTTTTCGAAGATTGCGAATAACAAGCTCTGTGTTCAAACACTGATCATTACACTTACACGTTTTGTCCAGCCGGATAATCCTCACACCAAAATACAACTTTGAGCACTTTTGCATCTTAAATACAAACGCAAAAACTGAATTATAATCATGTGTATAATCATATCAACAAGACCAGACGTGCGCAAAGCAACCGTGAATAAAAGGTCTGTCCAGTTTGCTAGCATCATCAATCCTCATCAAATGTGATCAAGAGTGAGTTTTACAAGTTTAACATGATTTAAAACAGTGCACGTGTGTAGTGAAGTAGTGAATTCACTTCAGCTTTACTAGAAACGGGTGGGCAGGGAGGACTAGCCTTAAAGGCGCAGTACAACAAAACCGCTACCCCATGCTAAAAGGTATAAAAGAGAAACTTATAAAAAATATAATAAAAAATAATCTGATGGGTGTTTTGAGCTGAAACTTTACAGACACATAAAATACTTATCTTAAATCTGAAAAAAGGGGTAACCTAGGTGCCCTTTAAATCATATGTTGATTTCATTTTTTTAACTTCCATTTAATTGATAAAGTTATTTTTTTATTAGTAAAATGTTGTTTATATGTTGTTGTTTTTTGAGTTATTTAAGTAATTATTTTGACAAATTAAAGAATCAAAATCCTCCAAGTTGAGTTTTATGTTAATGTATTCTTTTTCTTTTTAGCTTAGTCTCTTTTTATTAATCTGGGGTCGCCACAGCGGAATGAACCGCCAACTTATCCAGCATCACTGGGAAACATCCATACACTACGGACAATTTAGCTTACCCAGTTCCTCTACAGCACATGTGTTTGGACTGTGGGGGACACCAGAGCACCCAGAGGAAACCCACATGAACACAGGGAGAACATGCAAACTGGGTCTGACTGACCCAGCAGAGACTCGAACCAGCGACCTTCTTGCTGTGAGGCCACAGTGCTAACCTCTGAGCTTGAGCCAAATACATTTGTACATACAATTCAACATCCAGATTTATTGACTAACTGGATCTCTGTTTATTGGTTATCATATTTTTTTTTTTCATATTTATTTTGTGTTGTCACTTTATGTACACTGGAAGCTTCTGTAGCCAAAACAAATTCCTTGTTTGTGTGAAGCACACTTGGCAATAAAACTGATTCTGAATATATAAAATATATTTTAGAAAGTTTGAGATAAATCATAAAAAATGCATAGCAGCATCCTTTACAATATCACCAGCAAAATTATTAGGATTTCGGCCTTTAATATACATTTTCCTTAATATACTATAAACATATATTGTTATACATTGTATATGCGATTTTTACATTTTGTAAATATTTTATTTTATTTCATCTGCCCTCAAAATAAATGAGGTTGTAAGCTGAAGCTTTAGCTTTTTCACACATACAGAACAACAATTATTTATTTTAGTAAATTACATTAAAATAAAGTTTGCAAAATGAACACATTTATGACAACTGTTATACCCTAAAAGGGTCAAATCAACCAAGATTTGGGTTAGAATAAACCCAGTTGTTTTTTAAATGTATTTTCATATATTATCAATTTTTGTAGAACCCATCTTTACACATTTTAGAGCAGATTAATGAAATGTGACTCACAGTGATGTTTTCTGATCCTCCAGCTGACGGATCTTCAGTTTTAGGTGTTTTGTTCTCCAGATCTGCAGCAGAATCAGCTTCAGTCCTCTTCCTCTCTCCTCCTCTTCTTTACTCACTGACAGAGAATCACTATCCTGCATCTCTCATCATTCGCATCTAAAGCTTTGTGTTTGGTAGTTAAAGACATACGGTTGAAGCCGAAATTATTCACCCTCCTGTGATCCTGTTACACATATTTCCCAGATGATGTTTAACAGAACAGTTTTCACAGTATTTCCTATAATATTTGTTCTTCTGGAGAAAGTCTTATTTGTTTTATTTCGGCTGGAATAAAATCAGTTTTTAATTGTTTTAAACCGTTTTAAGGTCAATATTATTAGCCCCTTTAAGCTAAATATTTTTTTCGATAGTCTACAGCAGTGGTTCTCAAAGTGGGGGTCGGGACCCCCCGAGGGGTCGCGGGGCAATGAAGGGGGGTCGCCTGGTGATTTCCAAAAATCTATTTTTATTAAACCATAAGAATTAACTTATTTTATCCATAACTATATTGAAAATAAAAATAGTAGTTTATAGTTACTATATACTATATAGTTACTATAGTAGCTTATAGTTACTAGTTCTATTGCAGGGGTGTCCAAACTACGGCCCGCGGGCCATCTGCGACCCGCAATCAGTTTTGTGGCGGCCCGCGAGGCTTTTTATAAATATCAATAGAATCTGGCCCGCTATACAAAAATGAACGTAATTCAATAAATAACCACCGGGTATTACATGCATTCAATTAAGCAGCAGTTCTTGTTATGATCTATCTATCTATCTATCTATCTATCTATCTATCTATCTATCTATCTATCTATCTATCTATCTATCTATCTATCTATATATATATCTGTCTGTCTGTCTGTCTGTCTGTCTATCTATCTATATACACACAGTTGAAGTCTGAATTATTAGCCCCTCTTTGATTTATTTCTTCTTTTTTTAAATATTTCCCAAATGATGTTTAACAGAGCAAGGACATTTTCACAGTATGTCTGATAATATTTTTTCTTCTGGAGAAAGACTTATTTGTTGTATTTCGGCTAGAATAAAAGCGGTTTAAATTTTTATGAACCATTTAAGGTCAAAATTATTAGCCCCTTAAGTCTTCAGAACAAACCATTGTAATAAAATAACTTGCCTAATTACCTTAACTTGACTAGTTAACTTGATTAGAAGTGTCTTAAAAATATCTAGTCAAATATTATTTACTGTCATCATGGCAAAGATTATTAGAAATGAGTTACTAAAACTAATATGTTTAGAAATGTGTGGAAAGAAATCTTCTCTCCGTTAAACAGAAATTGGGGAAAAAAATAAACGGGGGCTAACAATTTAGGGGGGCTAACAATTCTGACTTCAACTGTATATATATATATATATACATATACATATACATATATATGCGTGTCTGTGTGATGTATGTAAAATTTGGCCCGCGACAACGTTGTTTTTTTTGCATCTGGCCCTCGGCCCAAAAAGTTTGGACACCCCTGTTCTATTGGATTGCGACCCCTGGGGTAATTACATTGTATTAAAGACAGCAATAGCGGCAGATGCATTTTCATTTAATAACATCAGGTTATACTTTCTGGCACATTTAAAGCACTGACACAAATTTAATTGGTGTGTCTGCGTCATTGCATGAAAGGTTTCTGTATTTATAACCACCTCAGAGGATATTGAGGGTCGCGAGTCACTGGCATTGTCATTTTGGGGGTCGCGGGCTGAAAAGTTTGGGAACCCCTGCTCTACAGAACAAACCACTGTTACACAATAACTTGGCTTAAGCAATATTTGCTTTGGATTGTCCACCGCTGTTATTGTAATAGAATGACTTGCCTAATTACTCTAACTTAAACCTGATTAACCTAGTTATGTCACACCCTCGGCTCGTTCCTGCTCTCCCAATCAGCGTTCTCCCTCGCCAATCATCTCTAATTACCTGTACCTGCACTCACAAGACACCTTAAAGTTGGAGTGGCATGGTGGCTCAGTGGGCAGCACTGTCACCTAACAGCAGGAAGGTCGCTGGTTCGAGTCCCAACTGGGTCAGTTGGTGTTTCTGTGTGGAGTTTGCATGTTCTCCCCGTGTTGGTGTGGGTTTCCTCCGGGTGCTCCGGTTGAATAAACTGAGTTGGTCGTAGTGTATGTGTAAAATGAGAGTGTATGGGTGTTTGCCAGTACTGGGTTGCAGCTGGAAGAGCATCCTCTTCGTCAAACTTATGCTGGATAAGTTGATGGTTCATTCTGCTGTGGCAACCCCTGATTAATAAAGGGACTAAGCCGAAGGAAAACGAATGCTTGGTTGGGTTTATCCATATTTGACCCAATGCTGGGTTAAAACAACAGCATTTAAAAAGAAAACAAATGTAATGCTGTGGTTTATTATGCTTTTAAGGTGGCATTATCCCTTTTTCTACAATAGTAAAGCACATGATGAGCTGACAGTAAACTCTTCCAGCCACAAGAGGTCACCATCTCATACTTTCTGCTTCTCATCATCTCATGAACAGAGCACAAAAATGCTGAATCTGCCCAACTAGTATATGTAAAGCAGGGGTGTCCAAACTCGGTCCTGGAGGGCCGGCGTCTTGCAGATTTAGCTCCAACTTGCTTCAACACACCTGCAAGGATGTTTCTAGAATGGCTAGTAAGAGCTTGATTAGCTAGCCCAGGTGTGTCTGATTGGGGTTGGAACTAAACTTTGCTGGACACTGGCCCTCCAGGACCGAGTTTGGACATGCCTTCATTGCATTACATGCTTTGTTTTCGGCCATCTTAGAAGTTTTTAGAAATTTTCCTGCAATAATGAAATTGCCACATTAGTATTAGGCATTGCATGGAGGCAGATTTGGCCTTGGTTTATTGACACAGACACTACATAAAAGAAAATGTCAAAAAGGCTTTTGGACAGCATGAGTGTTTGGGTGGGCTGGTGAACATCTTGACTTTATTTTAAAATAATTGAATTTAATGTGAATGAATTATTTATTAGCTTTATCAAGCAAGGAACCATGTATAGTAACAAAGTCTTGTAAACCCTCAGTAGCACTCCATGATTCTGAGGTATTTCAATGAGTGCCCAACAAAGGGTTAATATGCAAAACATTCCTTGTAAATGTTGAAAATTATTTTCTTGTAAATTACTTCACGATGTCACATGCAAGTAAAAAAAAAATTGGGCATGTGAAACTAGAATATATAAAAAAAACACCAATATTAAAAATAAGCGATCAGATTTGGAGTTGAAGGATGGGCAGTTTATGAACTGCTGTTGTGGCTCCAGGTTATTCAGCCTGTTTTTCTGATCTATGTGTGCTTGTGACAGGTACTGTAGTTAAAGAACAATTCTGTCAGTATATAAAGCTCAACCTGTACACAGCACTTGCTCTTAATGTAATTGTATGTTCAAGCTTTTGATATAATTTTGTATATAAGCTCATACATGGCCATACTGAACATCAGATATCCATATGGGGTGCTGCATTCTGACTGGCTCAAAAGAGTTATTCGGTTTTCTAGATATGTCTCCAGCTCTTCCTTCAGTGTAAATCTGAGAGATTATTTAGACTAATTTATAATTCACAAGAAGATTTTTTGAGTGAAAGTAACAGTGTGCATTCACTGGGGAAAAAGACTGAAGAATGAGCTATATGGAAAAGAGGAGGTACTCATAGCTTTAGCATATTCACATGATTAACTGAGTTTTGTATGAAGTGCTTGTGTTGAACACTTGTGAGAGTATGTCTGGTTTGTGAACAGACCTGTAGTTCTTGTTCATCATTATGAGTCATTTGTACTGAATGAGTCCGGTTGTGCTTGTGAGAACTGAAGTGAGTTTTCTGACCATCGTTCTTGTAGTATTGTTTCAGGTTTAGTTGGATAATGATTAGTCAGGGAACAGGGTACATTATAATGGCTGAGATATTGATGATCTTGAAGTCAAACTCAAGGTTTAGCTGAAACTGATCATTTCTTCAATCAGCATCTCTAGAAACTCCTCAATGTAATCTAGAACACAAGCAAACAGATCACACCGGATAACAAAGTACAGATTACTGATTAGCTTAAGTTTACAGGGTTTGGTTATCATGTCTTTGTGATATTCAGTGATGTCTAGTTGTACATTACAGAAGCTTCTGGAAGGACTAAATGATAGCTACATTAGCTATGTTTCCATCCAAAAATGCGAATAAACTTTTTGCGCAAAACTGGATTATCGCATAAAAGTTAATAATGCGAATAAAGCATCATTTCCATCCAACGAGTCAAAGCGAAATAAAAAAAAGGCGCCAAATATCAACAGTAAAACCTGCATTTGCTGCAGTAGGAGAAGCTGCATCAATCTTTTCTAAATGAATGCGCCTCAGAAGACAATCCTGACCTGCAGTGAGCGCGCAGTGGCGTTTGAAGGTGTCAGACGCGGAGCACAGGCGCTCTTGATACTGGAGGTCATTAATAATATAATAACACTAATACTGAAATGGTAAGGCGTTTTATAATGACCAAAACAACATTTCAGATGTTTTATAATGTGCTCAGCCTGACATTTTGTCCATTCACACACATTTTAAGCATCACATGATCTCTTTTAACAAAATCACATGACCTTTTTTAATGCGCATGCTGGAGTTTGTGCGGTAAAAGTGTTTCCATCGCAGTTTATGCGCATCTTTTCTTATCGAATAAACAGTTTATCCCACTCAGTTAGGTGCGTAAGTTTTTTATGCGCATTTTCAAAATTTACTGTTTTTCTTTTTTTTATGCGAATTTGCAAAATAGGTGGATAGAAACATAGCTATTGACATTTTTTGAATGTACTCACCCATGTTACCTATACAGGCTCAGAGTCAGCAGGGAGAACACAACCAGCTGGAGTGGGATCAGTGACAGGATGAAGTCTGGTTTCAGCAGTACTGAAACTGATTAAGCAAAAAGTAATTTCACAAAAACAAATTAAGTGCACTTTCACTTCTATCAATGAACTTGATTCATTATACTTTCCAGTAAAACAATGTCCAATTTCTTAAAGCCTGAAGAAGATGTATACATTAAACACTAATTCCTGTCCAAACACATTATTATTAATGGCACAGAATGACATCAGCTGCCAGTACACTGGGATTTCCAGTATGGAGGAGATTCAACATCTGAATTGCCATGGCTCAAACACTTTTAGACGATGGAAAACAATTTTAAAGAACAGCTCACTCCTCCCATGAACACTACAGCAGGAAGCCTACAACCAGCTTCTTTCCCCATGGAACTGCAGAGTGAATGGTTTGAAGACCTTTGACCAGCTCCTCTTGATGAGGAACCATGGAGTGAGGGATTCAACCTCAGTGTGACCTACTCAGACCAGACCTGCAGCTTCTTCAAGACGCACGTCCATTCTTGACCAGCTCCTCTCGATGAGGAACTTCAGAGTGACCGATTCAGGTCCAGTGGTTAATAAAATAGGTAAATAAAGGCACACTAAATACGTAATTAACTTTATTCAACCCAAGCTCATTCTGGAAACGTAGCCCCGCGGACGTTTCTGGAGACCGCGATTTACGTGGCCAGAGGTACGTAAAGGCCGCGTTTAGTTTTTTTCGAGCGAACGCCGCGGGGCGGTGTGGCGCCGCTCCGCTCCTCCTCTTTGCGCTCGCCGGCGACGGCTCGCCTCCGAGTGGAGGGCTTTCCCGATGCAATCAGTTTGTCCGCTTAGCTCACAGCGTTGCGCCAGCAGAGTCCGGGGAATAGCAGGTTCCGGAAATCAGGTAAGACGAAAAACGTAATCCAAAAAATAAGGGCGAGAACACCGCGGGATCCGAAAAAACGGTCGAAATCGAAGACGAGGGCTTTTCCTTTATTTTTTCTGGATGGCTTTTTCACTCGGGTTTAGGGAAGGAGGAGGAGGAGGAGAAAGAGGAGGGCGGCCGTGTCGGCCGATCCGGCGGCTTTTCGCGCGAGAACGGCGCGGGCGCGAATGGCGCGGGCTCCCTAGAGGCGCCCGAGACGCGAAAAAGCGACAGACAGCGCTTCTTTACCCATGGAACTGCAGATCGATCTGTTTCAACATGCCCTATGACCAGCTTCACTCGACAAGGAACCATGGATTGACAGGTCGAGAGCCAACGTCCTTTGATCAGCTTCTCTCGATGAAGAACCGTGGAGTGACGGGTTGAGAGCCAATGTCCTTTGCTCAGCTTCTTTCGAATAGGAACCACGGATTGATGGGTTAAGAGCTAACCAGATTACTGGCGTTCCTGGACCACTAATGTGGCCGTCGTCTTCCCCAGGGCATGAGCAGCTGATTTAATGGTCATGAGAGCATAATCGGTAGCCGTGCGGAGCTCAGGCAGCAAGCCCGGGGGAAAACCGCCCTCCTGCATCTCGGCTAGCTTCTCGGCTTGGTAGCGTTGATAGGTGGCCATAGCGTGCAGAGCGGAGGCGGCCTGGCCCGCAGCAGTGTAGGCCATGAGAGACTCAGATAATCTGCACTCCTTGGAAGGGAGTTTGGGCGAATCTCCACGAGTGAAACGGCTAGCATGCTCCACCTGGGGAATCACCTTATATCCCCTGGCCGCTCCGTCATCGAGGGAGGTGAGAGCAGGTGTGCGTGAGGACCGAGCAGAAAAAGGTAGCCTCCATGCCTGCGTGAGCTCTCTGTGTACCTCTGTAAAGAAGGGGACGGGGGGTCTAGAAGGCTTCGCCTTTTTCTTCTCCCCCACCGTAGCTCCCGTCTAAGCAGTCTGGTCGCGGTTCTGGGGGAAAAGCCATCTCCAGCCCCACGGCCGAAGCAGCTCGGGATAACACGGCTAACATGTCCGATTCCAGATCCGTAACCACACTGACAACCCCGGAGGGTGGCAGAGGGTCTGGACCTTCCTTGGAGCATGTCAACCCGCCTTCCGATGCAGTGATGGACATCACGCCCCCGGCGCTCACACTCGAAGCAGAGTTCACTGAAGAGGAGCGAGGGATCCGCGGGCCCAAAGGTGATGGATTAGCCCCCACTGTAACCCTCAGGCCTGCCTGAGTGCTAACCCCACTTTGCGGGGAGCAGCAGGGGTGACTTGCCCTAATAAAAGAGCTCAACGCGACCTCAGTTGCGCAACAGTCAAGCCATCGCAATGCAGGCAAGAACTGTCTGTGAGCACCACATCAACATGTTGGACCCAAACATGCGACGCAATACTCGTGCCTGTCATCCGGGGCGAGGAAACCACCGCATCCAGAAACGGAAGGTCGAAACGACATCTTTAATAAGACGCGTTGTACGATTGTGTGCTCTCTTAGGGAATTCTGCTCTTTCAAAAAAACTGCTCTTTCAGATCGCCAGCGAAACGCCAAGGGGACGGAAAACCCAGCTAGACCGGTTGAGAGCAAACGCCCTTTGATCAACGTCTTTCGAAAAGGAACCACAGATTGATAGGTGGAGAGCCAAACGCCCTTTGACCAGCTTCTCTCGATGAGAAGCCGTGGAGTGACTGGTTGAGAGCCAACGTCCTTTGACAAGCTTCTCTTGACAAGGAACTGCAGATTGACAGTTCAAGAGCCAACGTCCTTTGACCAGCTCTTCTGAATCTGAAACTGCACAACGACAGATTCAGGTCCAACAGTAAATAAAGGCACACTCTAAAGACATGATTAACTTTTTATTTTGGTTATGATCAAGTTACACTCCAGTGACCAAGCTTCTTCGCTGATGGAACCAATGGTCATCGGACACACTTCTTTCCTCATGTAACTGCATGGTGTTCGCTTTGAAGATGAGCCGTTCGAAACACGGGGTGACCAGTTTAAAGACAACATTGTCTGACCAGCTTGTCTTTCTGTAGAAACACAGTGAGACAGAGTCAAAGACAATATCACCTGCCTGGCTTTTCTTGCTGGGAAACACATTCTACTTTGGCAGTATCAAATTGGTGGCTTCTCCTGTTGAGTGATTTAAGTTTAGGCGGTCTCTAATGAATTTTGAGAAAAATTGCCACACAGAATTAGCCTGTTCGATCCAGCTGAACTTTGGTAAAAATATTTCAACCAATTCCGATATACCTGAACGAATTTTGGCAATGGCTGAAGACATCTTGTACAAGGTTTGAACATTACGCAGCATGTCGAATGTGTTTCCTGACACCCCAAACAAGAACAGAACACGCGCTGTTCAGCTTCTCTTAACTAAGAATCACGGAGTGAGGCCTTCAGGACCAACACGCGTTGATTAGCTTTTCTCCACGAATAATCACGGAGTGAGGTTCTCGAGGCCGATGCGTGCTTAGAGGTTTCTTTTTGCGAATAATCACGGAGTGAGGTTCTCGAGGCCGATGCGTGGTTAGCGGTTTCTCTTTGCGAATAATCACGGAGTGAGGTCCTCAGGGCTGCTGTGTGTTGATCGGTTTCTCTCCACGAATAATCCGAGCAATGATTCTCTTGATGAATGCAGGTTATTTAGAAAGCTGGTTTCAGTCGAGCTGCGTCCCTCGCTGTGGAAAACCTGAACAAAACAGTCGGGTTTTATACAGTGTCCTTCCAGCTTGAAGGATTTTGATTGGACAGAAGAATGCGAGTGTCTGACGGAAGTGTTATGAAAGACTAAGGAGGAATTCCAGTACTAAAACTAAATTACTTTCATTTCATTTGAAAAACACCAGTTACAGGAAACCTGTTTTGTACTTTCTGTTTGGGTGTGGCTGTTTTTATTCTGCAACAAACCATCTTGAAAAAAAAAAAAAAAAAACTAAACTAAAACACAAACTATTTAAACATTTCACAAGGTTACCATGCAAAACAATCATTGGCTTCTGTGAATTGCATTTACAAAAACAACTTTGGTCTAGTTTGGTTTGTTTAATGTAATCACCTGATCAAAAGTACACCTTTACTGTCCCAAATTTAAAAATAGAAGAAATCAGTTCTGACTGAAGTGCTTGTGTTGAACACTGGATAGAGAGAGACTGGTTTATAAACAGAAGGTTTTATACTGGGATTCAGAACAGACCTGTAGTACTTGTTCATCATTATGAGTCATTTGTACTAAATGAGTCAGGTTGTGCGTGTGAGAACTGAAGTGTGTTTTCTGATAATCGTTCTTGGAGTATTTTTTCAGATTTAGTTGAATAATGATTAGACAGAAAATTGGGTGGATGTTGTTACACAGATTGTGTACTAATCTTAGTCGATTTTAGTGTTTCTGGTACATTATATTGGCTGAGAGCTGAAACGTATTTCTTATCAGCTCAATTATTCTGTATTCAAAAAAGAAACACTGGCTTTGGTTTGGGCATTGCAGCAGTTTAACGTGTAAACTGGCAGCAGTTTCATTCCAGTTGAAGTCTTTTCAGATCCTAATCCACCCACATTCTTAAAATCGGACTTTTAAGGATTTGTTACAACCTCCTGGCTCAAGAATGAAGTAACAAAACCAAATAAAGATCCAAACCAGAAAATCAAATCAATTTAAATAGATTTAATCAAAAAAAGAATTGAAATGATACATAAACATAAAGAAATGAAAAAAAAAAAAAAAAACTATTAAGCTAAGAGAAAATGATGAACGCCCGCAGCCCAATTCTCTGGGTCTTTATCCAAACGTACATCACAAGTGTGACCGGTCCTTGCTTAACCAGCCTAGCAAAGCTGGGAGTCCAGCCAAAACCAGCTATATCCAGCTTAAACCAGGCTGGTCAAGCTGGTTTTAGCTGGATTTGGCTGGTCATTTTCCAGCCTGACCAGCTAAGACCAGGCTGGAAATGGCCAAAACCCCTCTAAAACCAGGCTGGTCAACCAGCTAAAACCAGCCTAGGCTGGTTTAAGCTGGATTTTTCAGCAGGGAATTAACAGGCTTTTATTCTGCATGAATAAAACAAACAAATGGCAAAGCTGAGTATGTGCCTTTCTTAGGAGCTCACCAACCTCTCCTCAATAGCGTTTGCCGCAAACTGACATAAATCAGGTTGAAGTGTGTTTAACATACACCAAAACAAAAGAGAGAAACATTATACATAAATTTTAAAAACAAAACAGAATCATAAACACATATGTAAACACATACCTGCATGAATAAAACCAACAAATGGCAAAGCTGAGTATGTGCCTTCCTTAGGAGCTCACCAACCTATTAGTAAAAGGGATAATTCTCACTACAAAGCTTGCACATTCATGCTTATAAACTTTACCCACAATACATGCCTCATATACATTCAACCTCTCATACATGTTTAAACATCAATGTAATGCAATTTAGAACAACGTTACATTTGTTATTATGATAAACAACACTTATATGCTATATTTTAACCGGAGCTTCAGTAAAACTCACCTCTCCTCAATCGCGTTTGCCACGAACTGAGCGAGAGCAGGCGAAACCGGAAAACGACACTTAAAGGGACCACGCGCAATTTTCCAAAATACACCAATACATTGGAAACAAACACAGCTATGATTTCATTAACTCTGAAATATAAGATATTTAAAGAACAACTTTTAAAATACACAATTAAATAAAAATAATTGATGAATAACAAGGAGAATTTTGATTGAAATTAATAAATACAATATAACACCTGTTACACAAGCAACACTCCGCACCTAGTCCAAAAATCAAACAGTGTGAATGAAAGTAAAGAAAAGTGAGTCTAAAGTACAATAAAGTAAATGTTACTGTTTAGCTTTAGTTAGTGTTTAGTTACAGTCACTTCAAGACATTCAGTGCTGTTTTGACTCACTGAAACACAAATTCATTCATTAATGTGCCGAATGTTTGATAATAAAAGACTGAAACACGTCTTTTGATAACTTTTAACTTGTATAAAGTGCTAGAGAATTAAATCTAACAGGTGGATCAGGTTGGTTTAGTGACTGCATAACTTTTTCTTCAGGCAAACACAAAAGAACATTCGATGAATGACAGGCGTAGATTAACAGGCAAGGCATTTCCTGTATATGTTTTAATGAGAAGAACACTGTTAACCTTCAGAATCTCTGTGGTGCTGAAAACAAGAGAACAAATAAATGGCATTGACGTCCAACAGATTTCAGACATTAATACGCATTTAGAAACCTTTGTTGCAGTGACAAAATATCAAGGATGGATGATCATCGAGGTGTCACCTCGAGGTGACTATTAAATGACTACAAAACTGAAATCAATGGCCCAGACAATGAAGACGATAACAACATATTCATTTCTTGAAACTTTAAGATTTTTCAATATATTTTTTTACAGAACAACCCCTTGCCCAAGTATTTAACCCCTTACAGATGAGGGAATACATAAAAAAATTATAATAATAAAATTATGAGATTATTAAAAAAATCAATTAAAAGAAAACAATATAAATAAATAAATAAATAAAAGGTATTGCCATCATAATTACTTTTCAAGGGATACATTTGTACATCATGTTACATTGTATTACATTGTAGTACCTCAAATTAAAGTGATGATAGGTTAAGTAACCTCTAAGTATAAATTCAAGTTCAAGTACTTTATTGGCATGACATTTAATACAGTATTGACAAAGCATTTTAAATATGTAATATATTAACATAATCAAAAATAATAATATAGTAGACAAGAAATAAATGACAAAAAACATCAGATAATACATTTGATAATAATAATAATACAAAATAAAAAGTTTAGATTATTTCAATTAGATGCATGAATTAAAATTAACCTATTTCTTAAGGTGTGTAGGGTTTATCCGTATTTTGAAGCTAGTCTAGATGTCAATTCATCCTCTCCGAGTATATGGTAAAGTTTTTTCTGAGTCATTTAAATTGAAAAATCAATTAGTCAATGTTTCATATTGGGGAAAAATATATTTCTCTAGTTGTGGTGTATTTGGGGCAGAACAGAAGGAAGTGTCTCATCCTCTATTTGGTTTGTGTCACACTGTTTACATCATCTCTGTTCTTTAGGAGTCCAGATTTCTAAAGCTGCGTCCCAAATCCCATACTTATGCACTATTCTACGCCATTTTGTAGTATAAATAGTGTAAGTAGTGTATTCACACTGAAAACTCTAAAAATAATAAGTGCTCTTTAATTACCCGGATGATGCACTCATTCAGCCGCTAAAATGAAATGTGTAGTGATGGACACTTCACGCACTCAACGACCGCAGGTTTGCTTACGTAGCGGAAGGGGCGGAGCTATCGGACGCACATGTTGAATAACTTTATTTATTTTGGATGGTGAAAGCAAAATTCTCCTATGAGAGTGATTATAGTGCCTCCCAATGGTGAATGCGGCAACACTCACTGCAGGTATTATTTGATAATTCGGTCGTTTATTTCACTGATTTGGCAACCGTCAAACGTCATCAGGGAAACGGTTTGAATTTCCGCTTAGTAAAAAACATTAGTGTGCCATTTGGGATGACACTACATACATATACTATCCTGTTGAGTGTGTAAGTGCATAAGTACATAGTGCATGAGTGCATGGTGTATAGTGTGCCATTTGGGACGCAGCTTATGTCATGATCACAGATGTGATAGTACTACAGTAAAGTACTTCAATTGATCAGTTGTGGTAATACTATACTTACAAGTGTAATATAAACAAATCACCCACAACTACCGCCGTAGTTTTTTTTTACAATATAGGGTATATTATACTACAATTCACCACACTTTACTGTAGTAAAACTCATTAACAAGTTGTAAAAAAAAATACTAGCCTAAAATATAGGCAGTATACCTACCTAAACCTGTAACACTCAACAACACTAGTATTTAATACAGAATTTACCATCACCTTTTAGTGTTTCGTGTATTGTTAATAAATAGTGTAGAAATATATCAACCATATCAACATTCTTGGGATAACCAATTGAACAGGAGGATCTCTGGAGAGCAAAAGCACGAAAGGAAGAGGAAACATGAGGCACAAACTGTGGGTCTGCATCAATGACTGTAAAATGACGCGACAGCCCCTTTTCCCATTGAACGCTTTGAGGGCAAAACGCCTGCTTGACGGGCACAAACTGTCGCAAAAGACTGCTGAAATTGGGGCCTTGACATGCGCAGAAGGACTGTCTGATGGAGCCAGAGCAGGAGCCGCGAAAATGAGCGGTGTCGAGCTTCCAACCAAACGCTTTATGTAAAATCAACCACGCCCCCCGAACTACTCAGCATGCGTTTGCTGTCATATCAACACAAATGGATGTAATAACGTTAACAACTATGAGGGTTTTATATATTCAATCGTGCCAGCTCCGGGCCGCAGCGCATAACCTACTCGCGGCGTCGCGGGCTGATTCCGGCTCGCATGCAGCAGCGCCGGCTCGCTCGGCCGCCGCATCTGGCTCGATTGACTCGGGCTGGAATCGGGCAGTGAGTCCAGGCATCCGGAGTAGGTCCAGCAGAGGTAGTCAGTCTGAGCTCTGAGGGGTAAGTCTCAGGCTGGAATCTAGCTGGAACTGGCCCTAGTGTATTTATACAAACATATATATATATATATATATATACACACACACACACATATATATATATATATATACACACACACACACACACACATATATATATATATATATATATACACACACACACACACACACATATATATATATATATATATATATATATATACACACATATATACATAAAACATGGAATAGCAATAGTCAAAAAAGTCCAGATTGGCAGTAAACACACATTACAACTCTG